TGTGTGTGTGTGAGTGTGAGAGAGAGTGTGTGTGTGTGTGTGACTGTCTGTGTGTGAGTGTGTGTGTGTGTGTGTGTGCGTGACTCTGTGTGTGTGTGTGAGATTGTGTGTGTGTGAGTGTGTGTGCGCGTGACTCTGTGTGTGTGTGTGTGAGAGTGTGTGTCTCTGTTTGTGTGTATGTGTGAGAGTGTGTGTGTGTGTGTGTGTGTGTTTGCGCAGGTGGGCGGTTACTGGGATAAGTCGTGCAGCATGGTGACGCAGCTGAAGGAAGGACTGAACCGCATCCTGTGTTTGATCCCCTATAACGTGATCAGTCAGCCGCTGTGGGAGTGTTTCATGCCCGAGTGGCTGGAGGCGATTCGCATTGAAGTTCCTGACCATCAGCTCAAGGAGTTTCGTGAGGTCCTCAGGTACATGACACACCAGACACGTGTCCTCTGTGTCCAATAACACGTGTTGCCATAGTGACACCTGTCAGTGTTTCCATGGTCTCCATCTGCTCAGTGAAGAGCTTCATATCAGTGTGTTTGCTCACCTGTCACTCTTACACACAATGTTTCTGTTCATTTTGTGTCTCACAAAGTCAAAGCTGTTTCACTGATCTTCTCTGAGATGAGAGGGTTGTGAGTTTTTTTTTTTGAGGAGGCACAGATTTATTATTTTATCTCACTCTTTGTTGTGTTTCTCTTTGCAGTAAGATGTTTGACATTGAGTTGTGTCCACTGCCGTTCTCCATGGAGGAGATGTTTGGATTCATCAGCTGCAGATTCAGTGGATATCCAGCATCAGTGCAGGAGCAAGCGCTGCTGTGGCTTCACGTGAGTGCACACACACACACATACATATATATGTACACTCACACACACACACACACACACACACACTAACACATGTGCACACACACAATAGTACTGAAAATCATGACCCTAACCTTTATCTCCATACTCAAATCTCAGATGGCCAGACAGTGATTCATGTTTTATGAATTGTTGAAATATTGGTGTCCAATGTGCCGTGATCCTAGACACTGTAGTGTACACTGTGAGTTTAAAAACGTAGCTTTAATGTGTGATATGAATAAACAGTAAAACATTATTTAGTATGTTTATTAATCTGTTTTTCTTGTGAGGACAGTTGACTGTAGCAGGTTTTATTGTCCTTGTGAGAACATATGAACTCCACACACCTATCTTTTCAGTGGCGTGTGTGAACAGCTGCGTCTGTGTTTTACAGGTTCTGTCAGAGCTGGACATCGTGGTTCCTCTGCAGCTGCTCATCAGCATGTTCTCTGATGGTGTGAACTCACTGAAGGAACTGGCCAATCAGAGAAGAGCTGGAGCCGCAGACCTGTCAGGAAACGCAGGAGTCCGCAGGGTAACACAGCACTCACCCGCATCAGCACAGAGAACATCCTTCACCTCATCTGGTGTTCCCGGGCAAAAATGACCAGCCTTTGTAAAATTGCTCAAAATCTCTCATTATGCTATAATATCACCAAACCTTGCATTCAAATCGCCCAGAAGGGATTTTATTTAAGGTTGAAGTTCAATCTTTTTGTCAACTTGTTTTCTCTCCATCAGCATAGATTTTGTATTTCTTTTTGTTTTTGGCCTCGTTAAGTTTATGCTCCTCAATGTTTGTGTGGATACAGCATTATTTGTGTATAAGTTTGTCAGTGTTCACTCTAAAACTGAGAAGCATAAGCTCAGATCAATGACGACTACGATCCATCAGTTCCAAAAACAAATACAAAACCTGTGCTAACTGAAAGAAAGCAAGTTGACTAAAAGATTGAATCCAATATTTGATAATAATATAGCATAACAACAGATTTAGAATCAGTTTTTTGTAGGCCATTATTTTTTGATCAGAAACATCACGTGTAAAAAGGTAGGATAAAAAAAATCACAAAAATGATCAGCATTTTTTGGGAAGTTGTTACCCTGTGTGAGCAAAGTCAGTAAGTTTTAGCATTGCAATAACATTGACTAGCATTTTTTGGGGAAAAGATAATCCTCTCCAGGTCAAACACTGAAACAACATGAGGGTTAAGAACGTGGTGTGCAGTTAAACACAGTTGTTACGACAGAAATCTGACAACTACATGTGATCTACTGCAGTCCCTCCATACTGAGGGATGAGGAGACTTTTTAACCAGATGAGTAAAAAGGAAACTCTTTTCTCAGATGTGTCAAATTTGGTTGTGATATTTTGTGCTTTTGGAGGGGTCCTGTAGAATGTGTTTCCGCCGCAGGTGAGTGTGGTGTCTGACCCCGGCAGGAGAGGGCAGCACAATAACCTGAGTCCGTTCCGCAGCCCCCTGCACTGCAGCCCCTTCAAGAACCTCGGCCACGCTGCCGGAAACTGTGCCCTGGACCTGGACTGCGATGATGACGACATGAACCTGGGCTGCTTCATCCTCATGTTTGACCTGGTGCTTAAACAGGTGAAGTCATTCGCACACTGTAACAAAGTTCGTAGTCACGGGAAGAAGGAGGCGGGTACCGGCGAACATTTAAGACTTTAATAATAAAACAAACACAAAATAGCGCGACAGCCCCTCGCGGACGACTGTCGCGCACAAACAAAACCAAAACACAAAATAAAATCCAGGCCTGGTCCTCTCTCGTCACTCCTCCTTTTATCCTTCCGGAGCTCCTCCGTGGGACTCGAGACCGGTGAGTGGCGCAGGTGTCGTGCATTAGCATTAACTCCACCGGCCTCGCTCCGTTCCCACGGCTCTTGGCCCCGCCCCTCTCGTCACACACACATACAGAGATGAGAATGAGAATGAGATTGTTTTCTGAAGATATCTGACACGTGTTTACGTGTGTGTGTAGATGGAGCTGCAGGACGAGGCGCTGGGGCTGGAGAGCAGTCTGGGCCGGGATGTGGTGGGCATCATCAACAGCGTGCTGCGGGCTCCGTGGGGCGGATCACACACCTGTCAGAAGGACGAGAAGCCTCTGGAGTGCAGTCTGTGTCAGTCCAGTATCCTGTGCTACCAGCTGGCCTGTGATCTGCTGCAGAGACTGACGCCGCGCGAGGAGACACGACTGGTGGTGAGACTCATTTGTTCTATCGCTGGATCTTCATTGACCTCTGTTGTCTTTATACTGAGCTAATGGTACTTTAAAGCCCTTCCACCGACTCGTGTAGCCCGACCTTTGACTGGACGTCCTAACATCATCACTGCCAACGAGTTACCTGAGACATATTATATCATACTAATGTAGAAAAACATTTAAAATACAGTGACCAAACCTTTGAGTCACTAACTTTGACAAATCCAGTACTTATTTTATTCTCGTCATATTAGCCCCGCAGCCTTATTGAAAGAGTAGTTCACCCTAAAAATGAAAACATTAGCTGTAAATGTGCTCACTTTCAGGCCATCCCAGATTAGGATTGTCACAGAGCGGTAAGGGAGCACCGTAGAAAAACAGGGTCAGGGTCCAAGTGCAGGAGAAACTGGATTTATTCAACAAAAACAGACAAAGCAAAACAGAAACAAAAACAAAAACAGACCAAACAAGATCTGAAAAACAACTCAACCAAGAACAGAACCGGGATAGAAATACGGCAACTGAAGGTGCTTGCATCCAACCTACAAACAAGAAATAACAATTACAATACAATTAATTCAGCCAGCCTGAGTGGTGGGAGTGTGGTGTATAAATAGTCCATGACAAAGAGGAACAGCTGAGGGTGTAATAAGTGACAGATGGGTGGAGTTTGGGGAATGGAGTCCGGGAGGAAGGGAGATGGCGACCTCTGGTGGTGAGAGGGAGAAACACAGGGCCCGGACCCCTGACAAGGATGAGTTTGTTTCTTCATCAGGTTTGTAGAAATGTAGCACTGCATCAGTGTCTCAGCAATGGATGCTCTGCAGTGAATGGGTGCCGTCAGAATGAGAGTCCAAACAGCTGATAAAAACATCACAATAATCCACACCACTCCAGTCCATCAGTTAACATCTGGAGAAGACAAAAGCTGAAACTAATCCAGCATTCAGACATTTTTAACTTCAAACCATTGCTAAAATACGACTCGCGTTCCCTTATGTTCCCTTATTCCCTATGCCATTCATAGTGCCCTTCAAACTGAACAAGTTCGCTCCCTTACAGAGACAAATGACTAAAACACCCATGTGCTCTTTCTCCTGGACGTTGTGTAAAACCAGGCAGTCAGATTACATCTTACTATGCAGTGAAAATGATTCTGGTTCAGTGTGAAATAAGCATCAGACAGTTAGGACCAGACTGTGGCACTGAGCCTGCCAAACCTCACGCAAACCTTCTGCTTTTTTACACTTCATCACATCATATTCATGAATGTAATATAATTTCCCTACACACACAGATGTGAATGATAAAGATGAGGAGGTTTTTCAGTGTGTCGTGTGTGTTTGACAGGAACCATCCGAGTGTCTGGAGGAGAGTTTGGTTTTCCCTCAAACTGAATTCAGTCTCAAATCAGAGAATGGAGCCGATAAAGCAGATGCTCCGTCAGAAAACCCCGGCAGCCACAATCCCTCTCCTGAGATCCCGCGTATGTGCTCCGTTTCCAATAGCAATCATTGCTTATGCATTGTTTTTCATCAAATATTCATACGTTCACAGATCTGTGTACTAGCCATGTATTAGTGCATTACATTTTCTGTTTCTGTGTTCTGTTCCCTAGCATTAAAGAATAGTGCAGACAGGAAGTTCTTGTACCTACAGCTTCCTGTTTCTCTCAAGCTTCTGTACACCGTTCTGCAGGTAAACATCTCACTCTGTTCAGTCAGGCTTGTGCGGCGTTCATGTTTCTCATGAGTCTGCTGCGATGTTTCTTGTAGGAGATGAGTAAGTTTGAGGAGCCAGACATCCTCTTCAACATGCTCAGCTGTCTGAAGATCCTGTGTTTGCACGGAGAATGCCTGTATCACGCCAGGAAAGATCAGCCTCAGTTCCTGGCCTACATACAGGAGAAGATGCTCATTCCCAGGTACCACTTCATAATAACAGCAAACCTACCGTAACGCTCCATGATGTAGTTAAAATCATATCATGGCAGATTATGTTCAGGTGTGTTTCTCTGAATGGCACGTTTCATATTCAGATGGCTGATTGTTGTTTGTGTCCAGCCTGTGGTCCATGCTGAGGTCAGAGTTCTGTCAGCTGGCGTCTCTGGCTGTGCCGCAGCTCCTGCACGCGCTCGCTCTGTCCCACGGTGCAGATATCTTCTGGAGGCTGGTCGACAGCAGCTTCAACAGTCAGGACTGGAAGATTCGCTTCGAAGCAGGTCTGACTGCATTCACATCCGCACCTTTCTGTTCATTTGCTAAAACACTTTGCTGCCATGATTAGCGCTCGGGCTCCTGGAGCACTGTGGGATTAACTGGAGCCACTTACAGTGATTGAGAGAGAGAAGCTGTGACCTTGAGCTACAGTCAGACAAACACAAACACAGACACGACCTGTGCAGATAAAGAGAATTGAAAGGCTGTTACTGACGCATTGTGTAAAGGGTTCATCATTTACTGCTCACAGTGTGACCATACGACGAGTTAGTGCTGTTTGCTGCATCATCTATGTGAATGTTGAAATCACCAACAATCAAAACGGTCAGCAGCAACTACTGGATCTGACAGACAATCTGCAAATTATTACTAGTGCTTATATTCAGTGATAGTGATTTGAGTAAAACATCTCATAGCTGCACACTGAAGAAGGACTTGAGCCTGGTCTACAGACCTGAAGATCACAGAGACGCGAGGATACGGGACTCTTGAACACCTGCCAGGAAGAAAACACCTACAACACAATAATAACCAGATATGAATGCACTAAAAACCACACTGCATCCACCCACAGCACACACACTAGTGTCACCGTCGATGAGAACAATAGCAGATCAAAGAAATATTCATTAACGAAAATAAACTTTACAACACATATCAATAAAGGAAACACTGATAAAGATTAAATAATACAGTCAACTTTCAACATAATGTACAGGCCTGCAAACAAAGTAAATCCCGAACTAAACTAATACATAAAGCCAACAAGTTTAACCAAAAGAACAACAAAGAAACAACCAAAAATAACAGCGAACCAAAAGGGATCACATAAGAGAACCCAGAAAGCTTTTATATTTCTCAGCAGGTGTTCAGCGTTACACATCTCTCAAAGCCCCCCCGGCTAAAGAAGAACGATCCCAGCGGCACGGCACACTAGTGTCATGATGGCCAATTCATGACAGCATTAAATGAAAAACAACAAATTGCAAGACTTACAACCATGAATATGGTCAATTTTATATATTACAAATGAGTCTCTGTGGATAATTGATTTATACCCGGAGGAAAGCTGTTTAAAACCAAAACACATTGGCCAACAACATTTTTAATAAATTAGCCCATATTTATTAGATACTTTTTATTTTCAACCACTTGAGTGCCATGCAGATTCTTGTTTTTCATTTATGAGTTACTTTTTATGTAGCACACTCTTTCTATAGTTTGATGATAACAACAGTTCAATCATGACAACTCTCTGGAGATTTTAGCATGGTGATGGATATGACAATGTTAATGTGTTTGGTCTTGGTGGAACAGATCTGCTACGCTGCTGCTGAATTGCTGCTGCTGTTGGTTATTGCTGTAGTTGTAGATTATTGCTGCTGTACGGAAACTTGCTACTGCTGATGCATACGGTGATACGGTGCTGTGAGTATTTAAGACATGCAGCTGCTGCACAAATAGCATATAAAATAACCCCGTAGCAGATCTATACAGGTGGAGCTGGGGAAGGTGGAGGGTTTCAGAGAACTTTGAAAGCGCGCTGCAGGAATCTCTAGTGAATGCTAGCCAGCTATAAATGCAAGGCAGTAAGCTCATTGGCTGCATATGCAGCATGAACCAATCAGCTTGTGCCAAGTCGTTTAACTCTCTGAATATCATCCGTTACGTTAACTACCCGTCAGCCTGCGGCATCTAGAGTTTCATGACTGAACTATATATTTGTAGATGTCATCAGACACCATCAATGATTGTTCGTGTTTGATGATGTTATTTCTGGCTGTCTCTTTCAGTGGAGCGTGTGGCTGTCCTGTGCCGCTTTCTGGACATGGGCTCGGTCACTAAGAGCCACATGCTGAAGTATTCTCTGGCTCACGCTTTCTGCTGCTTCTTGGCCAGCATCGAGGACGTGAACCCCGCCGTGGCCACCAGAGCGCGCCTGCTGCTGGACTCCATCAAACGGCCCGCACTGCAGGTGACAGAGACCTGATCGCACCAGTGTCCCCGTCACGTCATGAAGGGACCGGGACAAACGTGTGTTTGTGTGTCCTCCACCAGGGCCTGTGTCTGTGCCTGGACTTCCAGTTTGACACGGTGGTCAGGGACCGGCCCGTCATCCTGAGCAAACTGCTGCTGCTGCACTCGCTCCGACAGGAGATCCCCGCTCTGAGCTGGGAGTTCTTCGTCAACCGCTTCGAGACGCTGTCGCTCGAGGCCCAGCTGCACCTTGACTGCAACAAAGAGTTTCCGTTTCCTACCAGTGAGTGTGTTTGAATTAACTGTTCATGTCAGCAGGTCTATAAAGTGTGTGTAGAGTATGAAGAGGCTTTCTGCAGGTCTCAATTCCTCGTCCAGAATTGAGACCTGCAGAAAGTCTTAAATTCATAAAGTGTAACTGAAAAAAAGAAATCTAATCTAAACATCCTTAAATCAATATACATTTGCATGAGATGCAAAATGAACATGAAGTCTTGCTTTCTGAGAAACTGAACATAATTACATTTATGCTTATAACAAATATCTGTCATTTCGGTTTTAGGTATGAAAACTTGAACTACCTTTGAGTTAAGTAGATTTTTCTGAGCCCACTGGCAGGTATTTGTTCTTGTTTTAATCATAAGTTCACTCCACTTTGATACATTTCTCATAAAACAAGATTTCTTGAGTCATTTTGCTTCTTAAATAAATATATCTTGAATTAAGATGACAGAAATACTGAGGAAGAACATGACATTTTTTGCTGTGTGATCAGAAGATACAGTAACAGTTATTTCTATATTCTAGTGGTTTGAAGCAGAGCTATTAAAGTAAAGTCATGGAGATCTGTTAGATGATGTATTTTCAAACTGTTCCCCCTGGACATTTACATTTAGAGGACATATTGACTTGTGTTCCCTTCAATTTATTCTTACATTTTCTTTATTTGGTCTTGAAAAGGTGTTAAAGTCTTAAATGTACCTTCATAAAACCTGCAGAAACCCTGATTATACACCAAGTTGATCATGTCTTGATTTGCTCTGTAAGCGATCACAGCGGTGAGGACTAATGTGGCCAACCTGAGCGATGCGGCCATGTGGAAGATCAGACGTGCTCGCTTCGCCCGCAACCGTCAGAAGAGCGTCCGCTCGCTACGAGAAAGCGTCAAGGGTTCGTCCGGGTCCAAGCGCACTTTCTCCCTCCCGGAGACACTGTGCAACAAACTGCGTGAGTGACCTGAACCTCCCGTAGCTGTGCTGCTTTTCCATCTCATGTGACTGAAGTTCAGCTGGATTCATAAATCTGCTGACCTGCATGAGAACATCCCATCAGTATCTGTCACACACTTGAGCTCAACAGTGGAATGATTGTTTTGCTCAAATATTTGTCTCTGAATTGACCAAAGATGTCCTTCACTTTCTGTTTCTCTTTTTTCTGGATTCAGCTCTCAGACTCATAAGACAAGAGCAGTCGGCGCCCTCACTGGGAAACATGTTCGAGAAAGTCCTGACAGGTAAAGCACACTAATCTCATCAAGCATAGCAGCACAGCATCGACGGTCACTCATGACTCATTAACAGTGAAAATACTGTACATGTATGGTGGACACACTGTTAGGCGTCAGTTCTTCCTTTCAGCATGTGCTGGATATTAATCTTCATTTGCTATGTATAATTATATTCATCAGTACTTTAGTTGAGTTCAGAATCATCATCAGTTTAAAGGGGTTCTATTATGCAGTTTCACAAAGTCTTGATTTTGGGGTGTGCTAGAATAGGTTTTCATGCTTGATTTTTCCAAAAACAAATAAATTATATTTCTCATATTTTACATTATTGCAGCAGTTCTCTTCCTATTCGGTCTCAAACGCTCTGTTTAGTTCCTGTTTCAGTGAAGCCCCTCTTTCCAAAATACAAAATGTGCTCTGATTGGTTAGCTGGCCCTGTATTCTGGAAATACACTGTAGAGTAGCATAACATAAACCCACAAACAATAAATGTAATAGAATTAGAACAAAGCATTAAATATATGAAAAAAAAATCAAAACATAAAGTGGCTACATCACAAAGCCCAGTTAGAACACCCAACCTAAAATGTAATAGAACTGTCCGCAGAAAAATACTGAAAACAATATAAGATGACAACAATTTTAATTGTTCACCAGATAATGACAGAAACATTACAGACAACTCACATGCTCTCCACTATGTTGTTATGTTTTAAAGGGGTCATATGATGTTGCTAAAAAGAACATTATGTTGTGTATTTGGTGTAATGAAATGTGTTTATGCGGTTTAAAGTTAAAAAAACACATTCTTTTCCACATACTGTATTATTGTTTCTCCTCTATGCCCCGGCTTTCTGAAACGCGTCGATTTGTACAAAGCTCATCGGTCTGAAAAGCGAGGTGTGCTGTGATTGGCCAGCTATCCAGTGTGTTGTGATTGGCCGAATACCTCAAGCGTGTGACGGAAATGTTACGCCCCTCACCATACTGTGATGATGCCGTGTCCGGCCGGAGCGACGAGACAAAAACATTAAAACCCATTATAAACGAAGCATTTGTTGCATCCAGTGGGGACATAATTACAGATTATAATGACTTATACTGTCTTTTTATACTGCCTCGTAAACATAAAACCATGTGCATTTGTGATCGGAGAAATGACAAACAACAAGCCCTACACTACACTGCCCAAAAAACTCGCTTAAAATATAAAAAATATAAAAACTCTTTAAATATAAAAAGACGTACTTACAGTCTGTGAGTCAGAACAGCCGGCATTGTAGTCTACTCTCCCAGGATCAGGAAACAGTCCTCCATAAAATGTGCTGCGCACATCTGAATATTTGGGTTGAAGTGTTCTGGAACAGTGTGTAAATACAACTTAACAAATTTCTAGTTGTGTCCATTTTTGGAAGACCAAACAAAGTAGTTTCGCTTTCACAACGAAACACAGCGTCACAGTCACACACGCTGGCCTAGAGTGAGCAGAGGCTTGAGAATGGCGCGGCTGGCGGATTCGACGAAGGAGCATCCGGAGGGCTTGCGGCAACCACATGTGACGACCCCGGGCTGGACTCCGCTTCGTCCACGGTGAAAGCCGATCCGGCGATCCAAAGCGCAAAGTTGATGTATTCCCTCAGCGACCAGCACAGATCAGCTCTAGGCATGACGAAGTGGATATCGTCCTCTTTTGGAAGACCAAACAAAGTAGTTTCGCTTTCACAACGAAGCACACAGCGTCTTCACGACATGGCGGCGGCAACAATACTACAGCGAGAATAAAAGTTACACCTTCTTTCTTTGTGTGAACATTTAGGCGGCGTTATGCAAATCTTCCCACATAGTGATGTAGACATGTGGGGGCGTGTTAGAATGAGGCGTTTTAGGTAGGCGTGGCTGTTTCTTAACTTTTATAAAGAATATCTCTTTGGATTTGAGACATTAGTCTTTGCAACTTTACATATCTTCTTTATGCAACAAGAGCTTGTAACACTCCAAAGAGAAAGGAAAAATTGAAATCGCATCATATGACCGCTTTAATAACTTCACCCCTCACTTCCAGCCTGAAACTGGTGATCATGAGGCACTGCGAGGCTGCAGCCGGACACTATCTCACTTAAGCAGCTCTTCTTCTTCAGCTATTCTAGCGCAGCTCAACCAGGCCTCGCCTGTGGACAGGGATCATTTAAATGAGTGACTTTGTGACTACAGAAAGTAGTCACAAAATCTGGAATAATATCTGGAAGAATGAGCCGTTTGTTGTAGTTCTTGAATTGAGGTTTCTGTTTCTGTTAAGAGAATATCTCCCTTTGGAGTGGACTTTGAGCTTTGTAAACTTGCAGATCTTTTTTATGCTCAAATAGCAACCTTGTAAAGTGTCTGTAGAGGAGACTAACAACGCCACACCTTGTTACCGTGCAGGAGAGAGCTCTCCTCCAGAGGACGACTCCGTCATTAAGGATCTGCTGCCGGAGGACGCAGGCATAGACCACCAGACCGTCCATCAGCTCATCATGGTGCTCATGAAGTTCATGGCCAAAGACAAAAGCAGCGCAGAGGCAGACATCGGCAGCGCCAAAGCCTTCAACACGGTCAAGCGGCATCTCTACGTCCTGCTGGGATACGATCAGCAGATGGGATGCTTCATGATCACCCCTCAGAAAATGCGCTCCTCCACCTGCTTCAACGCCTTCATCGCAGGAATCGCTCAGGTGAGCTCAGCCCTGTGCGCTCGACTCTTTGTGAGGAGCGTGACGGTGTTCCTGACGGATTGTTTTGTCTCCTCAGGTGATGGACTATAACATCGGTCTGGGCAAACATCTGCTGCCGCTGGTGGTGCAGGTACTGAAGTACTGCACGTGTCCGCAGCTGAGGCCCAACTTCCAGGAGCCGCCACGCTGCTCGCTTTGGGCCCTCAAACCTCACACTAGACAGATGTGGCTTAAAGCCCTCCTCGTCATCCTCTACAAGGTATTCATCCTAACTGTGGCCTTTGCTGAAAAAAAAAAGTATGTGTGTTAAATAAATGTATAATAGTGTTGTGTGTTCCACGTTTATTGTCAAGTGTTCATGAGATGGATTGCCTGAGGGAAGAAACTGTTCCTGTGTCTGGTCGTTCTGGTGCTCAGAGCTCTGTAGCGTCGACCAGATGGCAACAGTTCAAAGAGGGAGTGTGCTGGATGTGAGGGGTCCAGAGTGATTTTGCTAGCCCTTTTGTTCACTCTGGAAGAGTACAGTTCTTGGAGAGAAGGGAGGGTTGTACCAATGATTCGCTCAGCAGTCCGGACTATCTTCTGTAGTCTTCTGAGGTCAGATTTGGTAGCTGAGCTGAACCAGACAGTTATTGAAGTGCAAAGGACGGATTCAGTGATAGCAGAGTAGAACTGGGTGAGCTGCTCCTGTGACAGGTTGAACTTCCTCAGTTGGCGAAGGAAGTACAGCCTCTGCTGGGCCTTTTTCACAATGGAGTCAATGTGAGTGTCCCACTTCAGGTCCTGAGAGATTGTGGTGCCCAGGAACCTGAATGACTCCACTGCAGTCACAGTGCTGTCCATGATGGTGAGTGAGGGGAGTGCAGAGGGGTTTCTCCTGAAGTCCACGGTCATCTCCACAGTTTTGAGCGTGTTGAGCTCCAGGTTGTTAAGACTGCACTAGGGTTGGGTATCGTTTTTTTTTTTCTCGATACCGGTGCCAAATCGATACTTTGAAAACGGTTCCGGTGCCTAAACCGATACTTATTAAAAAATAAATAAATACAAATTCCCCAAAAACTGATGGATTGTCCATTAGCACTATAAACACATGATGTCTGTTTCTTTCACTTTGCACGCCAGAGGGCGCCCTCGCACAGAAAATCCACATATCCAGTCAGAGAATGACCTTCCAGGAAATCCCTTATACGCACAAATGCATGCTATTATAGCTGTAGCTGAGTAAACAGAGCATATAAACATTTGAATGATAAAACAAAGACAATGAACACTAGACTGCGACAATATAGTTTATCTGTGTTATTCAAGCCATCTCTGGTATTTTCATAATAGTTAAGTATATTTATAATCCATTGCTAATCGATGTATTGTTTTTAAAGTAGCCTATGGAACATATTTTCTGCCTCATTCTGTGACAAGAAGCCTCATCAGATCACAGAAGGAAGCATGTGGCTGGTGTTGTGGAGTAAGAAGGTTATAATGTTCTCTTTTGTTGGACAACAGGTTTAGAAATGTGGATACAAGGGAGGTTTAGCTTTAGCCATCTTAGTTAATGGAAAGCTACCTGCTGCCATCAGAGCAAGTGTAATTACTGCATTCATGCGCTTCGGATGCTCTCATTTCCCAAGTTGTGCTTTTAAGTCGGAATGTGAAAACAACATGGACACTCTCGTTACTACAAAGATTTGTTGGATTTGCATTATTAGAGCTTTCCGACTTGATTTCACGTGCATTTTCTCAGTCGGGGAATTATTTTTCATGTGCGGTGCCGGTGATGATGCTTCTTACGTCCGCTTCGGAGAACCAGAGGACAAATATTTCAGTCGATCGCTCCGGCATGGCACCGAAATCTGTGTTCTGATTCGGTCCTGGTACATACCGGTTACATAGGTACCGGTGCCATATTGGTACCGAGCTTCGGTACCCAACCCTAGACAGCCAGCTCTTTAACCTCCTGTCTGTAAGCTGACTCGTCTCCGTCCTTGATGAGACCGTTGACTGTAGTGTCATCTGCAAACTTCAGGAGCTTGACAGAGAGGTGTTTAAATGTGCAGTCATTGGTGTAGAGGGAGAAGAGCAGTGTAAAAGCATGTCCCGGCACCACGTGATTGTCCTCTCTGAACAGCTGAAAGCCCGGCAGATGTAGCGCGCTGCCCGGAATGGTGTCATTCAGCCAGGTTTCCGTGAAACACAGAGCAGAAGAGTTTGAAAAAAACTTGTTTGCCTGGGAGAGCAGAAGAAGGTTCGTCCATTTTGTTGGGTAGACTTCGCCAGATGGATGCTTGACAACGGCGTTCAAAATCCGCGCTGTCTGAGCTTCACAAGCGCGCCGGCTCTCTTCCCCCGTCTGCACGTCCTGAAGCATTTGATCAGTGCCGCTGCTCTGCCAACTACAATGTTCAGCAAAATGTCCGAATAATCGAAAACTGGCAGAAGATTTTGTGGTGTGTTCTGCCGAACGTTCAGCAGTTCATCCCTGGTAAAACTGATCAAAAAACAGGAAAAACTAACAAAAACAGTACAAACACTGGAGAGCCAAGCACTGAGGCAGCCGTCTGCGGCACCATCTTGTTTGACTGTATTTATTGGTAGTGTGAAATGTGCAAGTGTACTAGAAGTATCTGCAAATTCCACTTTCCTGTTACAACAGTGAAAAAAAAGGAAAAGGGAAACAAGAGAAACCCAACCTGTCAAAATCCCACATATAGCTTTGTAAACTGAATGAGAATTTTCAGAATAAATATAAATAAACAGAACAACCACTGTCGTGAAATTCATTTAGGGATTGTTTGACTTATAGAGACAAAACAAAGACACTGAGCTTGTTGTAGATAGTGAATTCACGAGTTCGCACTTACATATAATGAGATTGAGCAAATTGTAAGCATATTTGGTGTGCTGTCTGAGCGGAAGACTCCGAGCTCAGAGTAGAGCCTGAAACCAGAGAATTCCCCATATTCCCAAGCTGGGATAAGAATAGTTAGGAGTTCGGAGCTGGGGTGGAGGAGGGATTCCAGAAAAACTGTCATGGTTCAGAGGTACGTTGACTGTATATATACAGTCATACATTAAATATATATAGGAGCCCATCAAGTGTTTTTGCACTGGGATCTGTATAATCCTAGTTATGGCGCTGACTACGCATTAAAGGGGTCATGAACTGCCTTTTTTAATTATTTTGTACTGTTCTCTGAGGTCCACTTATGTTATCAAGATTTTTACATCAAAAAGCATCATAATTCAGAAGTAATAAGCTATTTTCTGTGCTGTTTTGACCCGCTCATCAGAACACTCTGTTTGAATAGGTGTGGTGGATTGTAGACTGAAGTAAACGCCCACTGCTGTGATTGGCTGACAGTTGTGTTTGACAGCCTACATCCTTCACAGATGGATGCTGCTGTTTTAGGTTAAAACGCATAAATACTCAGTTCATATCAAACTATCTAATAACAGACAAAGCAATAGTGAGCACATAATAAAAACAGTTACTCACACTTCTTTCAAAAAATCCTGCTTGAATTTTGCTTTGTTTGTAAACGAATCTGTGGTGAAATGAAGTGAACAAAGGACCATGTTCTTACTGACGCGGTCTGGATCTTCATTAAAAATAAACTTCATCCACTCTTTCCTAATGATGGGATCAGAAGGAAGGCGATGCAAACACTGTTTTTCCACAGCTTGCCTCTAAACAGGCGGTGATGTAGAATCGGTGGGTGGGGCTAAACAGACAGTGATGTAGAATCGGTGGGCAGGGCTAAACAGGCAGTGATTATAGAATCGGTGGGCGGGGCTAAACAGGCAGTGATTATAGAATCGGTGGGCGGGGCTAAACAGGCAGTGATTATAGAATCGGTGGGCGGGGCTAAACAGGCAGTGATATAGAATCGGTGGGCGGGGCTAAACAGACTGATGTTGAATCGGTGGGCGGGGCTAAACAGGCAGCGATGCAGAAGCAGGTGTTGATCTTCTGTGGAGGCGGGGCTTAGCCACACTATTACGTCATAAAGTGGCTCATTCCACAACCAGTCGTTTTGTCAGACTGTCTTCAGTATAAGCTGTTTTTAGACTAATGAGAAAGTTTTGCGTTCTGAAACTTACAGGATGTTTTTTATAGAACATTGGCCTCTTATATGTCAAAAGATCAAGGGAATTTTGATTTCTCAGTTCATGACCCCTTTAAACATTTTAATCACATAATTTATTTATTTATTTATTACTAAAATAGTTTTTACTATGATGAAATACAGGTACTTCAATAAGGTGATTATGGTTGCTCTCTGTTCAGAGCCGCTCCTACAGACACACAAAAGAACAACAGGACATCAAGTCAACTAATTTTAATGCATATTTGTTCTGGTCGCAACCAGGATCGATTTCCTCAAGGTCTAGAATGTTCCTGGAAACGATATACCCAATGCCATCAAACAACTGTCCATTGGTTTCTCTTCCGCTTGAATGCAAACAGTGATTTCTCCTGTGAAAAAAACAACAAAGAAAATGAATCGTATTCATCTAAAAGCATTAACACTGGCTTAGTGTTGCACTTCAGTAAAAAAGTTGTGGTTTAATTTTTGTTCCACAGACAGTCTCGTTTCTAACTGTAGTCTTAGTAATCAGAAATTCAGGAATCTTTGCATCTTCTTCACTGTGTCGTGCTGTGTTTCAGTATCCATACAGAGATATGGACATGAGTAAAGAGGTGGTGCTCCATCTGATCCACATCACCATCAACACGCTGAATGCTCAGTACCACAGCTGCAGGTCGCACATGTCTGCATGCCCGCTGTATAGCGACAACTCCAACACCAGCCGCTACAGCGAGAAGGGTAAAGGTACAGATCACGCTCGGCATCACGGGAACGGTTAGTGATGTGCTGTCGCTTAATGCCTGTGTTTTCCTGTGTAGAGGAGGACAGTGTATTTGACGAGTCGGACATCCACGATACTCCGACGGGTGCGAGCAGTAAAGAGTTGCAGACCTTCTTCGCCCGTCTTAAGAGGATTGGTGGCAGCAAGTCGGTCAAGTATCAGCCTGTGGAGCTCAACGCTCAGAGAAGTGCGTGTCCATATGGATGTCGTGTGCGCTCGCGAAGCTTTCCTCAACTAATCTTCTGCTCTTGTGTTCTGTACAGGTGAGATCGAGCTGGCCGAATATAAGGAAGGCGGCGTGCTGCAGGACACGCTGCTGTACTCGGCCAGAGATGACAGCAACAGCAAGAAGAAGAGGCTGCAAGCCATGCACAAGCAGAAGTCTCTGGACATCAGCAACACAGACGCCATCCTCTTCAACCTGGACGAGCACAGACGCAAGTCTTGCATCGACCGCTGCGACCTGCAGGGACCGCCGGCCCTACAGCCCTCATCCTCCTCCTCTATCGGGCGACAGCAGCACAGAGCTCAGCACCATGGGAAATACTCCTCCAACGGCCACTCCATCACTGACCGAAGAGTCTCCGTTGCTCAGAACGACAGCATCCGGCCCATCATACCCGAGGTGCGTCTCAACTGTATGGAGACGTTTGAAGATAAATCCGTCGGTCTGGACTCACCGCTGGCCGCACTTGACAAGGACGATCCAGATCTCATAGACCTGTCCTCCGACTGCACCTCCATCCCCGAGAAGCACTCCATTCTCTCACTCTCTGACAGTGACTCGCTGGTTTTTGAGCCGCTGCCTCCTCTGCGCATTGTGGAGAGCAACGAGGACCTGTTTGAGGCACTCAAACTCCCTGGTGGAGTGCTGAGCAAACCTGAGGATCCGTCAGCGGCCTCCATCAGCACTGCAGGACACTCTCCTCCAGTCGTGCAGGTCAGCATAGAGGACTGCACCAAGAACAAGAAGCTTGAGCTTCCTGCGGGCTCTTTGCCAGCATCTCTGGCGCTCCCAGACTCCGCGGCTCCTCAGGAGGCCACCATGACCCTGAAACAGAAACGGGATCTCTTCAGAAAGACCTCGCACATGCCCAATGCATCCCTGGATGATTCCTGCACGCAGCCCAAGGATAGCGGCGGAACGAGCCCCTCCAGCAGGTCCGTCGTGCTCCAGATTCCTGCGGACGAGCTCGAGTCGCTGGATCCGTTGAATGGGGAAGGAGATGAGGACAATGACAAGACGGGTGAGAGAGACAGCGACCCCAAACCTGACGATGAGAGCGATGAAGCTGAATTCAAGATCCAGATCGTGCCACGCCAGCGCAAAGAGAGGAAGATCGCCGTCAGCGCTATTCAGAGGGAGTATCTGGACATCTCGTTCAACACTATAGACAAAATGAAAGAACCGGCCACAGAGTCAGGTCTGTCAACTTGATTTATTAGCATCTTTAGGTTTTGTGCATCTTGTTCATGTATTTTCACAGATAAAATACTTTATATATAATGTGTTTCACACTATGTCTTCACTGGTTTGTATGTGTATTGTTAATATTTAATTAAAAAATCACTGATAACACTTTATTCTGATAGTAGACATTCTACTATCAGTAACTTTGCAACTCCATGTCAACTAGCAGTCATTAGTAGACTGTCTGCTTAATATCTGCTAGCACTTTATTTTGATGGACATTTTACTGACTATAAGTAACTTTACATGTGTACATGCTACTTATACTAACTACTAACTACTAGTACTTATTCTGCTAAGTTTAAGCTTAACCTAATGAGAATTAGTTGACATGTAACTACAAATCAAGGAGAGTTATCCCATGGTCTGTCTGAATACTTGATTCTGATTGGCTGGAAGGTCTGCATTAAAACTGTTTAATGCAAAGTTACTTCTAGTTAGCAGAATGTCTAAAGTGTAAACAAATTAATTTCAATATAAATTAATTTCAATAAGAAGACCTTCAGCAGGTTAACAGGGAGACAAACTTTCATGGTTTCAAAGGCAAATAATGTCGGTCTTATAGATGACCTTTAAAGGGATAGTTCACCCAAAAAGGAAAATTCTGTCATTAATTACTCACCCTCATGTCGTTCCACACCTGTAAGTCCTTTGTTCATCTTCTGAAAACAAATGAAGTTATTTTTGATTAAATCCGAGAGCATTTTCTCCCCCCATAGGGAGCAATGCAACTACCACATTCAAGATCCAGAATGCTAGCGAGAACATCATTAAATACACCACGTGACTCCAGTGGTTTAACCTTAATTTTATGAAGCGACGCAAATGATTTGTTTGCACAAAAAAACTAAATTTACCACTTTCATTTTGGACTACCTGCAGCTTGTGTATTGAAGATGCAGGACAATCACCTACCAGTGCATTACAATAGTCCAGTCTAGAGGTCATGAATGAACTAGCTTTTCTGCATCAGAAACAGGTATCATGTTTCATAGCTTGGCAATGTTTCTAAGATGGAAGAATGCTGTAAAGACAAGTTGCTATCTAATATAACACCCAGATTTTAGACTGTAGAGGAAGTAACAGTACATCTGTCTAGTTGCAAATTGTAATCCAAGAGATTCTGTGTACTGCTTTTTGGTCCAATAAGTAATATCTCTGTCTTATCCGTATTTAATAGAAGAAAATTATTGGTCATCCAATATTTTACATTTTTAACACACTCCGTTAGCTTAGATAATTTTGAAGTTTCATCTGGTCTTGTTGAGATATATAGTTGAGTATCATCGGCATAACAGTGGAAACTAATTCCGTATTTTCTAATAATATTACCAAGGGGCAACATGGATATTGAAAATAGCAGAGAACCTAGCACAGATCCTTGTGGCACTCCATACTTTACTGGTGATAATTGAGATGACTCCCCATTTAAATAAACAAAGTGGTAGCGATCGGACAGGTAGGATCTAAACCATCTTAAAGCCTGTCCTTGAATACCTGTATAGTTTTGTAATTGATCTATGGGTATGTCATGATCTATAGTATCGAATGCAGCACTAAGATCAAGTAAAACTAGCAATGAGACACAGCCTTGGTCTGACGCAAGAAGCAAGTCATTTGTAATTTTAACAAGTGCAGTTTCTGTGCTATGGTGGGGCCTGAAACCTTGAAACTCTTCAAAGAGATAATTTTTTTGCAGGAAGGAGCACAATTGAGCAGACACAACTTTTTCTAAAATTTTAGACATAAAAGGAAGATTTGAAATGGGTCTGTAATTAGCCAGTTCACTAGGATCTAATTGTGGTTTCTTAATAAGAGGCTTAATAACCGCCAGCTTGAATGGTTTTGGGATGTGACCTAAAGACAACGACGAGTTAATAATATTGAGAAGCGGTTCTTCTGCTACAGGTAACAACTCTTTTATTAATTTAGTGGGTACAGGATCTAACAGGCATGTTGTTGGTTTAGATGCAGTGATACGTTTATTTATTTATAATAATAGACAGATTGTGTCAAAGCAACTGAACAGCATTAATTAGGAAAATATTGTGTCAGTAATGCAAAATGACAATAGTAAACACTAATTTTTCAGTTAAAGGCCATTCATCATTGAATTCAGTGATGTCATCATCCAGCTCAGTTCAGTTTAAATAGTGTCTGTGCAATCAAGTCAACGATATCGCTGGAAATGAAGTGTCCCCAACTAAGCAAGCCAGAGACGACAGCGGCAAGGAACCAAAACTCCATCGGTGACAGAATGGAGAAAAAACCTTGTGAGAAACCAGGCTCAGTCAGGGGGCCAGTTCTCCTCTGACCAGACGAAACCAGCAGTTCAATTTCAGGCTGCAGCAAAGTCAGATTGTGCAGAGGACTCCTGTGGTCTTGTCCTGGTGGTCGTCTTTACAGGGGATCTGTATCTGGGGCCCATCTAGTTGTCCTGGTCTCCGCTGTCTTTCAGGGCTGTAGAGGTCCTTTCTAGGTGTTCTTCTAACGATGTAGCAAGTACATCGGGTGTTATGAGAAGTGTTCCCGGTTTTGGTTGTCCTAATTCAGGGGTGGCGAACATCGGTCCTGGAGAGCCACAGCCCTGGAGAGTTTTGCTTCAACCCTAATCAAACACACCTGAACAAGCTAATCAAGGTCTGAAGGGTTACTAGAAAGCTACAGGCAGGTGAGTTTTAATTAGGGTTGGAGCTGAACTCTGCAGGGCTGAGGCTCTCCAGGACCGGAGTTCGCCACCCCTGTCCTAATTAATGCAGCCTAAAAATCCTTTAACGGATTTTAATATTAGAAGCGTATTAGTGTGTTATGTGTAAGCCAGGTTAAAGAGATGGGTCTTTAATCTAGATTTAAACTGCAAGAGTGTGTCTGCCTCCCGAACAATGTTAGGTAGGTTATTCCAGAGTTTGGGCGCTAAATAGGAAAAGGATCTGCCGCCCGCAGTTGATTTTGCTCTGTTCCCACGGCTCTCGGCCCCGCCCCTCTCGTCACAGTGGCTTTCTAAGGAAAGATTGCTATCAAATAGCACACCTAGGTTCCTAACTGATGACGAAGAATTGACAGAGCAGCCATCAAGTCTTAGAGAGTGTTCTAGGTTATTAAATGCAGAGTTTTTAGGTCCTATAATTAACACCTCTGTTTGAGTAAGAAATTACTCATCATCCAGCTTTTTATATCGACTATGCATTCCGCAAGTTTTTCAAATTGGTATGTTTCTCCGGGCTGTAAAGAAATATAGAGCTGATTATCATCAGCATAACAGTGAAAGCTAACACCATGTTTCCTGATGATATCTCCCAAGGGTAACATGTAAAGCGTGAAGAGTAACGGCCCTAGTACTGAGCCTTGAGGTACTCCATACTGCACTTGTGGTCGATATGATACTTCTTCATTCACTGCTACGAATTGATGGCGGTCAGATAAGTACGATTTGAACCATGCTAATGCATGAGATAAGATCCCTGTTGAAGCAGGGATCTTATCTATGCACAATCAGCTTGTAATACTCCAAAGAGAAAGCAAAACTTGAAATCGCATCATATGACCCGTTAATGTCTTTGCTACCGTTCTGGGTCTTGAATGTGGTAGTTGCATAGCTCCCCATAGGGGGAGAAAATGCTCTCGGATTTTATCAAAAATAACTTAATAACGACATACAGGTGTTAAACGACACGATGGAGAGTAATTAATGACTGAATTTTCATTTTTGGGTGACCTATCCCTTTAAAGCACATTCAATCTACCAATTATTGTCCAAACAATGATGCAGGAGGATTTCATTAACTTTAACAAATGTTACAATGTTATGCAGATGTCAAGAAGTGGTTACACACTGAGTTCAGAGACTGATTTGACACTCAGACAGGAGATTGACTGTCTCTCACCTGTGTTGTACAGAGGCCAAATCTCTGTCGAGCCTGGAGAAGCCCAGAGAATCGGCCTCAGCTCCGGCCCTGGAGGCCGCCGTCCCTGAAACCAGCCATCGCTCCTCAGTGTCCAGTAAATCACTTACACATTAATGCTCATATTCATCCGTCTGTTGTTTCAGGAGGCTTGATGTGTGCTGGAAGACTAAGATCTGATCAGCATTCATGAGCAGCTGCTGAATGCTCTTTTCTGTCCTCAGCTCAGTATCGTCAGGTGAAGCGAGGCTCGCTGGGTGCAGTGACTATGAGTCAGTTAATGAAGCGGCAGCTGGAGCATCAGTCCAGCACACCACAGAACATCAACACCTGGGACACGGGTCAGTCTTCAGCATTCATTAGCACTTAGCACTTTCCTCTCATGTTGATGATTCATTACCCAGACTAGCTGTGTAATCTAAAGCCGCATTTGACTTTATTCTCCTTTAAAACACTTTTCCTAACACAACAGCGTTTGCAGGTGGAAATTTGGTGATCCTTGACACGATCATGGACAGCAATGCAAAGTTGATTCTGTGTTAATTTGATCTAACATTTAATGTGTAGCAAATGAGAATTGATCAAATTATTGAATATATTTCAAGGCAAAGGTTATTGTTTTTCGGTTTTGTTTAATCAGCAGTTTTTCAATAACAGAAGAATATGTAAAAGTATGGTATCTGGGGTAAAAAATGTCCCTGCTGTTAGGGCTAAAACACAATAATTAATATGATAATAACTAGCTGACTGACTTTCCCATTTGTTAACATGACATTGTTATATTCAGATGATAAATATCATATATTGAGTTGGGTGTCCACTTTAGTGATAATCACCATATTTATAATGAAACCATCATATTTAAAAAATATGATATTAACCATATCATATCATATCATATAATAAAATACCGTATGTATTGTTGCTACTGTAAAGCTGTATTCATTTATTATGGGATGTCCTTCAGTGCTTTCAGAATCTTTACTTTTTAAAATAATTTAGTTTCTGTATTTTTAAAATGAACATTTTAATCACTTTTTATTGAACAAAAGTAAATGTTTATTAAAACAAGTACTTTGATAAAGTGATTGTTTTGAGCAAGTATTAACTTAGATATTATTCAGAACATATTATTAGCTGAAGTGTTTGTATAAATAATGTGCCTTTTACCCCATGTGTGGCCCATCTCTCCACCTCATACATTTGTAAGATTTTTAAACAAAACAAATCACTTTTATCATTTATTTTCTCACAAAATCTGTTGTTCCATCAATGTCTAATAAAAACATATGTGTTTTTTTCAGCAATCATACACTATGGGAGTAGTGAAAAGCAAATTGTCACCCATTGTATCGTGCAGTACTTGAGTTTGTGCCTCACGATGTTTGTGTTTTTCTCTGCAGGTCCAGTGAAGACCAGTCTGCTGTCGGCCCCCAGCACCATCAGCATGTTCGTTCCCACGCCAGAAGACTTCAGCGACGAGCAGCCCACTGCGATGTCCGACAGGTGGGTCTGACCCTCAGTGTTTCAGTGTGAAGAAGTGCAGAAGATCACAGCTCTGTGTGAACTGATCAGGTGCCGTGACTGCGGGGCTGTGCTGGAGGAGTATGATGAGGAGACTCTGGCTCTGGCTGTGGTGGTTCTGTCCATGTTCATCCATCTGAGTCCTGATCTGGCCGCTCCGCTGCTGCTGGAGATCATGCAGTCTGTGGGCAGGTACAGCTCTCTTCAGCACACTACAGCAGTATAATCACTATGGCTTTCTTTCACTTCTTTGCTTTTATTCTGCAGGTTGGCCTCTAGCTCCAATTTCACCGGTCAAGCTGAAAGGTGAGTTCTGCGTTTATGCTTGTGTAAATAAAGGTTTACTTGGTAATGTTGACCCTCTGCTTTATGCTAATAGTATGTGTAGAAGCTGTAACGGTGAGTTTGTGGCTGTGGTCACTATAAAGCACACACAGTAAAGCTGATGGTGTGGTGGTAGGGTCTGAACAATAAGAAGACTCTGCCAGCAGGAGGCACTATTCTGCACTGTCTGGACAACATCGCCACCTTCATGGAGACGCTTCCCATGGACTCACCCAGCAACCTGTGGACAACCATCTCGAACCAGTTCCACACGTTTCTAACCAAACTACCTGCTGTTCTGCCACTCAAGGTACCAGTTCAGCCTTTCTGTGCTCTGTAACGCCAGAGGAATCAGAGAATAAATGCTCTCAGTATTCTTCTCTTAAGAGTTCCTCCTGTTTCTTCTCTTTTCTGAAGTGTCCGCTGGACTCGAGTCTGAGAGTAATCATTTGCTTGCTGAAGATTCCTGTAACAAATGCAACAAGAGTAAGTTCATTCATTTCTTCGGCTCTGCTGGTCATTTAATTTCCCTTCAGATGATATGAATAATGAGAATATCAGAAGTGTGCTGTTTTAAGTGTTCTGCTGGGGCTGATGAAGTTCACTGCTTGTCTGGTGTCTTTCTGACAGAGTCTGCTGGAGCCCTTCTCCAAACTCCTGAGTTTCGTTCTCCAGTACGGTGTGTTCAGTCTCTCGTATCTCGTAGAGCTCTGCGGTTTATGCTACAAAACCTTCAGCAAGGTGAACAGCTCTGTGCATCAGTGTTTATTCCAGCAGAGAGAATCAGAACACCTGGCATGGGTTTCTGCCCTCTGCGTGTTGCTGCCAAGATTTTACAGTCTTGTTTTAAAAAATCTAATTTATTAATGCATTTTTTCTCCAATGCTAAATGAATATTCACTAAATATCATTTGATGATGATCATTTCATAATCATCATCAGGAGGAAAGAGTATACAAACTTTTTTCAGAATAAATAAAAACATAATCTTTCCTGTTTTTTATCCTTTTTCCTTAAGAAATAATGTCTGCATGTTGTGAAGCAATGCTTTGTTTGGTAAAAAAAAAAAGAAGACGACAAAACTTTGTTTTAATTAGTTTAATATGTAATAATGTGTTTTGTAGAGCAGAGGTTTCAAAACTTGAAAAAAGCTGCATTGTTCCCTTTAAGTTTTTTCTTCTTAATTTTCCATGTCATATTACTACATTAAATAGGCTTTTATTCAGACCATTCAGACGTTTTTTGAACGATTTATTAAAAGAAGCTCATTAGAATAATCTGTTCATGAATTAGATTACACTTTGTTGTGCAACACGTTTGTTCTTGTGAGGAAACTGCTGTGTGTCGTCAGAAATATGTAAATAGAAGATGATGCTTTATGGAGTTTTGCTGTTGATAGATTATCTAGATATCAGAGAGAAGCAGTGGTCAGCTGTCAAACGAGAGATGTCAGCATTCAGAAGTGTGGAGAGATCTTTTAGCAAACTGCACATTTTTGAAAATGACTTTCTATAAGCTGCTTTCCTCCTCTTCCATGCAGGAGAGGGACAAGTTCTACATGTCTCGTGTGGTTGTTCTGGAGTTGCTTCAGGCTCTGAAGTTCAAGTCATCGATTCCTGATACGAACCTGCTGCTGCTGGTGCAGGTAATGCATCTGTGAATCTGCGTCTCACAATAAGGGAAGGTGGAGCAAACACACGTGGATGCATAACTAGTTTTCTATTGCTAGTACTACTGATACGTCAGACAGCTTCTGTGACTGGTCACATTTAATGTAAAAACAATCAAAGACTGGTGTGTAGTTGAGGGATGATGAATGAGACCGCTCAGGATCCGTCTGAGAGAGTGATATCGTCTCGTCTGTCGTCTCAGTTTATGTGCACAGACATCGGGACCAAGCTGGCCGAGTCCACCATCCTCCAGAAGCACATGATCTCCGCTCTGCCCGGGGTGAGACTCGTCTGCTGCAGTACTGATGTGTCTGCTCGTTAGTGCTGACTGTAGACGTCACAGCTGTTCTGTCCCCTCAGTGCACCACAGCAGCGATGGAGTGCTTGCGGCAGTATCTGAGCGAGCTGCTGGACTTCATCGCAGACATGCACACACTGACCAAACTAAAGGTACTCGTCACACTCATCTAACCATCAAGCCTGCAGTGGGAACTCATGTTTCATGTGTCTTTGTACACTGGCTGTCATGTACCATCATGGAAACTTCTGTCTCATCTGCTGGAAGTTCCTTCAACGGTAGAGCGTGGCGCTAGCATCAATAAAACCATGGATTTGATTCTCAGGGAACACGTGAACTTAATCAGATCTATTCCATAAATGCAGTGTAAAGGTGGCGTTCCACCAGCCGATTTCAACAGCTGGATTGTGGTCGAGGTAGTCTCGCCAGCTGACTGTCTCTTCAGTCGGAGGTCCATCATGCACACAGATAAAAAAAATCGATGGTCATCACAGATTAAACGACTGCCTCTGAGCTTTCTCACGTGAAGCTTGTGAAATAAGAACAGGAGCAAACCTTCCCCATCTTCATGTACTGAATCAGGATGTCATTCACTGTGAATGTGTGTGATGTGTGTCTGCTGTAGAAAATAAACAAGCTTCAGTGAGAAGCAGACCGTTCTGCCAGCTGGTTACACACAGTTCTGTAGTATTGCCTTTGAGGACTTGAAATGTTTGGATCGGGTCAGTTCTTCAGAAGATCACTGATCACAAGTCGCACAGACAGAATGTTACGTTTTCGACTGTAATGACCCCTCCGCATCTCCAGCGATTATGTAAATGAGGCTTTTGACTGGAAATCAGCTGAAAATCGGCTGCTGAGAAGCCTTAAGTCTCTTGGGATAAAGGTGTGTGCCTGCATGCATGAATGTAAAATGCTGAAAGCTTGTGATGTGTATCATGTGTGTGCGTGTAGAGCCACATGAAGGCGTGCTGTCAGCCGCTGCATGAGGACACGTTTGGCGGGAATCTGAAGGTCGGTCTGGCTCAGATAGCGGTGATGGAGATCAGCAAAGGCAACCACAGAGACAACAAAGCGGTTATTCGCTACCTGCCTTGGCTTTACCATCCGCCTTCTGCTATGCAACAAGGGTAAAATCCACCGTCATCATGTGTGTGTGTGTGTGTGTCGTCAGCGCCCAGCATCAGCTTGAGCTTTTACATTGTGCTTGTGTTTCCTCAGACCCAAAGAGTTCATCGAGTGCGTGTCGCACATTCGCCAGCTGTCTTGGCTGCTGCTGGGGTCTCTTACCCACAGTGCTTTGCATCAGGGCTCCTCGTGCTGTATGCCCATTCCACTGGACGCTGGATCTCATATCGCAGACCATCTGATTGTCATCCTGATAGGATTCCCAGAGCAGTCCAAGGTATGATAATGGAGCGGCTCTGCTTGGAGGAGAGCCAGAGACGTGACTCTGATGTTGCTCCTCCCTCTGTGTGTGTCTGCAGACGTCAGTGCTGCACATGTGTTCGCTGTTCCACGCCTTCATGTTCGCCCAGCTGTGGACCATCTACTGCGAGCAGGCCGCGGCCAACCCGACCAATCAGAACCAGAACGAGTTCTCCTCGTGCGCCATCCTCACGGGCCTGGAGTTCTGGAGCCGTGTGACTCCCAGCATCCTCCAGCTCATGGCCCACAACAAAGTGGTAAACCTGCCATTTACTCAGACTCGGTGTGATCCGGCTTCTCTCTCAGTGCATCACTTTGCAGCATTTCTACATTGGAAGCTGTTTTTTGACATTTGAACATGTCAGAGTATTTCTTACGGCTTGTGTTTTAGCTCTAAACATCTTACGTTTTATTTGACATCTGATATAAACTGATTTCAGATACAAAACTGAATCCTGTTCTAGACTGAGAAATTACTCCATATGAATGAGCAAAGATGATAAATCTTTATCAATTTTAACTAATGGGAAAGCTCTGTGCAAAGCTAGAACAACCTCTGAAAGTACCTTGTTCAGAGACACAGTGGTGACAGCAGATCTGCTCTTTTTCTTCATGTTTCAGATGGTAGAGATGGTCTGCTTGCATGTCATCAGTCTAATGGAGGCCTTGCAAGAGTGTAACTCAACCATCTTTGTAAAAGTAAGAGGGATTTCTTACTACAAATGCTTAAAATAAACTGCAGTGCTTAGCATTTCTACATCATGCAGTCTGAGGTGTTTATTATATTTAATGTCCTCTTCGTTTTCTTCAGCTGATTCCCATGTGGCTGCCCATGATTCAGTCTAACTTAAATGTAAGTTTTCAACATATCATTACACAATTCACTCTTGCTGTCAACACTCTGATTCTTGCTTCTTTGTAGAGAAAACTCTCAAAATATTCCTGTTAGATGATAAACGCCCTTTGTGTGTCAATAGCATCTGTCCGCGGGTCTCCAGCTGCGTCTTCAAGCCATTCAGAACCGGGTGAACCACCAGTGTCTCCAGAATCCTGGATCCGGATCGTTTCCTCTCACTCTGCGCAAGTGGCTTCAGTGCACTCAGTTTAAAATGGCCCAGGTGGAGATCCAGTCGTCTGAGGCGGCATCCCAGTTTTACCCCATGTGATCTTTAAAGCAGCGAGCTGCGTGTGATGATTAATCATATGAGCTTCTGCAGCAGCAAATGTAGTTGCTCAAGTTTTGGTGGTCTTCCTAGTGTGTGTTATTATCGAATACATTACAGAAATCATGCATAGAGAAAAATGTTAGCCTGTTTCAACCAGGGAAAGTTTTTTTTTGCATTATCAATAGTATGCATATTTCAAACCAAAATAAACAATTCAAGAGTTTAAAAAAAAAAAATTTCAGGTAATGATTTCTTCAGAATCAGAAATAGCTTTATTGCCAAGTGTGTTTGCATACACAAGGAATTCGTCTTGGTGTCAGAAGCTTCTATTACAGAAAGTACCGGAAGAAAGTTCAGTGCTCTGTAGCACCGGCCCGAGGACAACAGTTCAAAGAGGGAGTGTGCTGGGTGTGTGGGATCCAGAATGATTTACCAGCCCTTTTCCTCACTCTGGAGATGCACAGTTATTGGAGGTTAGGCAGGGAGCACCAATAATCCTCTCAGCAGTCCTGACTGTCCTTAGTCTCCTGATGTGTGATTTGATAGCTTAGCCAAACCAAACTGTTATAGATGAGCACAGGACAGAATCAAAGATGGCCGAGTAGAACTGGGTGAGCTGCTCCTGTTCCCATGGTTTATCATTATTGAATGATAAGAATATCCTGGTAGGAATGCACATATCCTCACAGAAACTGATGTATGAAGTTAGAGTCTCTGTAAGCTCGTCCAGATCAGTGGCTGCAGCTTCAAAAATACTCCAATCAGTGCAGTCGAAGCAGGCTTGTAAATCCCGCTCTGCTTCATTAGTCCATCTTTTTACAGTCCTTATTACAGGTTTAGCTGATTTCAGCTTCTGCCTGTAGGTCGGTATAAGATGAACCAGGCAGTGATCAGAGAGCCCCAAATCTGCCCATGGGACAGAGTGATATGCATCCTTTATTGTGGTGTATCAGTGATCCAACATATTACTGTCTCTGTAACATCTTTGTGTTAAACTGACACATATTTATTATTTTACTTGCTTAAAGGAATAGTCACCCCAAAAATGTAAATATGTTCACTTTCAGACCAGTGGCAAGGCTACATAAGGGCCAGGGTGGCACTGGCCCACTCAGATTGACGGCTGGCCCGCCCAATCAAATATGGAAAGAATAAAAATCCTGCATACATTGCATTAATTGCTTGTTAGAAAACACTCTCTGTCTTTCTGTTGAGTCCAGATATGTCTTACCCCTCCTTTTTCTCCCTCTCTATCATTCTTATATATACAACGCATTCTCTCTGAATTCCTCCTTCTGTATCCATCTCTCTCTCTTGATATTATGTTTTAAATATGTCTTACTTATATGCGAAGTATGCATGCTTAAATGTATACATTAGCTTCTCTTGGTTTAAAGGCCCCAATGAGGACAGGAATGTTAGGACTACAAGGGTAAAGGAGTTCGTGATGAAACCATGAAGACAGTTCAGCATTCTTCGCAAAAGTCTATTCCTAATATGTCCATGTTTTTCTGTACATGTGGCTATTTTATATAAACACATGTTCTTGGCCAAAGATCCTACGTGTATGTTATTCATATCCTCATTGGTTAAGAGGATGAAACTCCCCTCGACATATGCCTATATAATATCTGTATTTCTATGAATAAATTGAAGTATTGAGGATACATTTGACTGTGTGTTTTCTTACTTCCCGGCCGTTTATTTACACTTTGGGAGACTGAGAAAACTTCAAGGTGGCAAAGAGAATTTACTGAGGGACCAAATTGTTATTCTTTATTAACATTGCTGAAATACATGAACATACAAATAACTTGCATGTGTGAACAAGTAAAAGAAAAAAATAATTTAGTAATAAGATCCTGGTGGATGAGCACTGATCTTCCAGTTTTTCTCTTCTTTTCTGTTGTGAACGCAAGAGCTGTCAATATAAGCGATCAGTCCATTCCAAGCATGCTCCTGCTGTAAAACAGTCTTTAGTCATCGTCCCATCCATCATACCTGAGATCCAGTTTCCAGTAGACCTTCGCGAGAACAGTCTGCTATTTAGGTTTGTATGGACTCACTAACTTTAATGTTAGCTAGTTTTAGCCAGAGATACATTGCTAAAGCACAAGATGACATTAACGTTCTGCTTGAGCAGATGAGAGTATGACAACCAGAAAACAGACGTTTTTGTCTTCATTGGGATTGGGGGTGAATGCTTTGCGTTATATTGCTCCGTTTTGTTTGGGTTTAGGAAATAGAATAAAATAAATTTCATTGCCCATCCTCTCAGGATACCTGGAATCACTGTTACAAGTACCCCAGGCACATCGTTTTTCCATTTTTGAAGCATAAACCCCATAAAAACGATGCAAGCTTCGGATCTTCCAATGTTTCTCTATGGCGCTGAAACCTACAGATGTCCGAGTTCCGCTCCCCGTGCAACTGATACTCGACTGCCATTGGCTCATCTGCGTTCGAGGGGAGGGGCTTAATGATAGGTCAATTATAAGCTGAATGCGGCTGCTCAATGCAGCGTGCCCGAACAACAATCGCATCAAGAAGTTTTTTAATATTCGTTTCTTATTTATTTGGTGTTTGCTGATTTTTACTTTATTTAAACTATATATGTAATTTGTTTATTTTATTTTTCATCAAGGTGTATGCCGTGTCTCCGAGCTTTCTTATTAGTTTTGCTAATAAACATTCCCCTTCAGGAACTCGAGCTGCGTCGAAATGCTTTTGGAACGCCTCTGTGTGCCCACGCTCTGAATCACATGTGAAATCAGTCCAATGGAATGGTGAAACGTCACGGCGGGGTGATGTAGAGACCAGAGAGCTTAAAAGCGCATCCGAAACAAGCAGCGTTCGCTTCTGTGTTTTCAGCAAGCGCTCTGTGTGAAACGTGTCAGTCTTATTTACTGTTGTTTGTATTATCAGTGCACAATCACTTCTATATGGCGAGCTAAACAGACAGCACTTTAGATTGTGTGTTATTCTCTGCCCGTGCTAAACAATTACGGGTGTGAATGCACGTGATCGTTGTGTTGTTGTTTGGGAGTGGAGCATGCACAGTCAGCTCTCGAGGGGGCTGATTGTGCATCGTGCTCCCGCCGGGCACACTTCGAGGAGTGTGTCCATGTTTGCAGTCACTGCGGTTACTGTCCCGCTGCTGCTGAGCCACGGCAGCGATTGGGATCGCGGGGATTGTATATGAGTCTAGTGCTCTCTCTCGAGGTTTGGAAGCCCATGCTGCGGTCTCTTCCATCTTTGAGTGAGAACTTCATGCTGCAGCTTTCTTCCTCCGAGGAGGTTGATGTTATCAATGATGTATATGAGATTGAGGACTCGCCATCTCAAACTTTTGCTTATGAAAAGCATTCTGCATTTTAGATCACTCGTTTCTCCCTGCCCTCGCAGTAATTAGGGGTGGGGATGCACGCGATTTATGTGTGGTTTGTTTTGGAGCAGAGACACGCCCAGTCAGCTCTTGAGGGGGCTGGCTGTGTTCATTCATAAAATGTACCTATGTGTGTACAAAGTGTAAAGTGTGCATTACCTTGGATGTTTAGCTCTGCTCCCACTGGCGTTTCTTCTCGAGGGAAGAAAGTCTTATGCATTATAGAATTGAATGGCTCGCGCGTTGCCATTACGGGTCTGCAGCAAATAAATGGTTTTAAAACATTACATTCTCTCTCTTTCCCCCAAACGTGTGCAAATGTATAAATGCATTTGCAGACTATTTGTCACAATTCTTTTTATTACATCATATATTATGATCAGACCGTGTTCGCTTGTCTGGTTGTTTGGCTGCATTTAAGTCTGAAGAATTAAATGATGAATATTTATCTGGCTTTGAGAAGTTGGATATATATATTTTGTATACATATATATATATATATATATATATATATATATATATATATATATATATATATATATATACATATATATGTCCCAATC